TCATGCAACTGTGGTGTGCTCTTTTATAGTGTAATATTAACTTTTTTTCCCTGCAGTATTCTACTGGACACATGTCCATCAGCTAATTTGGAAACTAGGCTACGCAAAACATGGATACACTTCATCACAAGTTGGCGGGACAGGCTATGTTTTACACGTGGCTATAATCCACTAGTAAACAGAGTAGTAGAAGTAGAGGTTGTGAACCAGAAAAAAGTCACCTCAGCCATCTAATCCAAGTGGCATACTTCAGGACTGAAAAATGAAGCCAACATGGAAGTGCCAAAAACTGCAGTTCCATGGATGACCACTTGAGGCTGGCTCCAGATTCCCTATAGATCCCAATGTTGAAGTGTCCAACTTTAGAGCAGAAACAAACATGTTTGCCTCTATTGCTAAATTCAGTGAAAACTGTGCTGTACTGCACTGTTTTACATAACTCACCTCTTTAGAAAAAAAAACAAGATGGCGACTGCCAAAATGCCGAACTTCAAAATGGCAATCCACAAACCATGCGTGACATCATAGTAGCTACAGACATTATTTTTACAGTCAATGACCTAACCCATCTACAAGAGAAAAATGGAGAGAGGTCTTTAGGAATTTGTTTCAGTTGGGCAAGATTTATTGTTCTTTCGTCTTAGCTAGTGTAGGCCATGTTTCGTGCTTTCTGGCAATAAAGACAAATTAATGCATTTACTCTAGTGCACAGGAAGACGCCGACAGCAGAAACAGTGAGTTAAATGTTTGCAATGTCAGAACTAAATCGGCATATCCCCTGCCATATCCCAATTAGCACATCAACTAGCAAAACTAACTTAGGTGAGTGTAAAAACCTTTCAAAGGAATTTTTACAAATTTTGCCATTTCCATACAATTGTTCTAATGCAATACTTCAAAATGTGCATAAAAACACCATAACCTACACATTATATGTCATTATATCTCTTATATCTTGACTAGTAAAAGTCACTGGAAGTCACTGCCACCAGCCAAGAAATAGTTAAGCCCTTAACCAGCCATGAAACCACAACTTTTGGTTTTTACTTTTTGTGTTTTTTGTACGGATTAAACAAACAACATAACTTCATTCAGGTACTGGTAGGTTTTTACCTTAGGACGGAGTCAGGCTAACTGTTTACCCCTGTTTACGGTCTTTCTGTTAAGCTGGCTGTAGCTTCATCTTTACCGTGTGTTATCTTTTCTCTCATCTATTTAGCTCTGAGCAAGAAATGTTGAAGCATTCTTTTACAACCTTTTCCCACTAAACTTTTTCAAATACAGATATTTTATCTGCTCCTGCAGCATGTTTATCACATATCGATTGGGATGCCTTCAGCAAATGACTTTCAAAGGACTCTTACATTTTAGAGCCTCAGAAAATATTGATATATTTCCTTTTTTAAGGTGTTCTGTTTTACATAAAGATCCTACTGTGTGTGCATCGCACAAGGTTTGCAGATGATTTAGCCTTCATGTATATGTGCGCATCTCAGCCAGTCGTAGCTGTCATCAGTCTGTCAAGGTAATGAACCCTACTTTACTGCAGCCTCCAACAGCTCTTTAAGGCCTACTTCACACCACTGAAGAAATACACTCAGGTATTAGTTGTTCTGCCTGGATGCTCCGCTGGATGATGGGTGGGCGGGGATGTTATTAGGAGCATTCATCTACAAGGCTCCCCAAGCCATACTATACTGAAACTGACCACAAGACAACCCTATCATCCTCAAAGATTACCTGTCTCCTGCACTGTATATGAATGTTTTATCATAAAAGCTTTTCTTTTTGCTAAGTGCCTCCTTGAGTGTTTGCTTTTAACTTTTGATTACTTTATGTCTTGTTGCGAAGAAGAAAAAAAGAAAAAGGCCCCGGCCCATTTGAATATAATGGACTTAACGGGAAAGGTAGTCTCTGTTGCTTCATTGAAAGGATATATCGCGGTGGTGTAATCCAACACAGTGGGTGTGAAAAAGTTTTGCACAGAGTGGTAATTTTAAGTGTCCTGCAGTGAGAATTTTATCTTGACATTGTCAAAGTGGGACGAACAGGTGGAGTGAGTCAAGGGAGAAAACAGACATGACACAATCATATAAATAAAACAGTATGGCAGGCTTTGTATAGGATCCATATGTTTCCGTCTGTGAGGAAATATAGGATGTCATGCGTTACAGTGTAAAAAGACTCATTTACAACCATTAAAAGCAGCTCAGTTCAGCATATCTGCCTTTGATGTGCTGGATCACATCTCATTTGGCTCCTTTTATACATGATAGCTGAGTTACTCTTTTATATAGTCTTGAGTCATTTAGAAGAAAAAATATTTTTCTGTCGTTCAGTCTAGACGTTGAGGTTTCCAGCCCTGAGCCCCCCCTCCTCCTCCTCCTCCTCCTCTAGGTTTTTACCAGACGTCGCGTTGTGAGCGGGGAATGGTCGATTGCATAACGGAAGGCGAGACGTGATCGTTCCTGGCCTTCTCACAAAATTCAATCATTCTCTGCATACTCCAATCCCATGACGGCCCATTAAAGAGCAGCGCGGGCTAGGATTTCCCCCTCATGTGTTTTAAATTGAAATTACGGTCACAAAGTCTGCCATATGCATGAATCGAGGAAGACAAGGAGCTTGGGGAAAAGGAGATATCAAAATAGCTGGAGTGAAGGAGAAACAGAGGCAGGCAGGAAGATAAAGAAGAGTCCCACTTTCTACGTGTGTCATCCTGCCACCCACATTCATACTGGGCAGACTGTCCACCTGCCTGAATCTCAGTGCATTTGTATCATTTCACAATACTCAAAGGGACCTGTTCAATTTTTCTATCAGATCACATTAGAAAAACATATTAACAATGGACCTGATGAATCCCCAAACTTTATCTGTTGCCAAAGTCATTCCAAACAGGGTCTGCAGCTTTTAAACCCAGCACATCATAAGTCATAGAACCGCAGGAGGAGATAAGGAGAAATAGGCGAAGTGTGAGACACCAGGAGATGATGACCCCAGATGTTCACTGAGGAACCACTGGGATCTGAATCAGACTCTGACTGGCCGTGAGTTCCTCATTCCTATTTGTCCCCGTGGAGTGGAGGAAGGATAAACACACAGACACACACACACACTCACACACCTATAGGGTCAAGACACTCTCCCTCTGATTTAGTGAGGAGGAAGTGATGCAGACATGACCTGGGCAAACTCCCCAGAGACATGCATCACTCCTCCACCTAAAATGAGATTGAGCAACTTCTCTTTACTTTGTGAAAAACCCACTATGAAGGCAGAGAAGAAGAAGTTCATGTGTATGCTCTGTTTTTTCCACTGTGTTTAAAGTTTTGTAAAACTCAAATTTAATTTTTTAGATGTATATTTTTTCAGTTTATATTTAATCACAATCTTATTTTCTTGTTTGGCAACAATGACTCAATCCAACAAATTTGGAGTTGTTTTAAATAGTTTAGTCAAAACCGTGGCATAACTTTGAATCTTGGCTTCAGCTGAGCCATACACTCAGGAGCCTCAGTTTTTCATTGGGATCTTTTAATCATACAGTGACATCTAGTGGTGGCTTCAAAGACGTGCAGGCTGCCTACACCAATAAAGTGCTCAGTGGCACATCATACAAAGTCTGCACACATAGATTTGAACCATTAATGTCTTATTTTACCATGGTGTGAAAAACAGTGTAAATAGGTGGTTAAAGAAGCATCATAATACACCATTAAAAAAAAAAATCTTATTTACAGCTGTGCACTGCCATGTCAAACTATGACAGACCTTAAAATCACCTGCTGTCATCACTGACAGTTTGAGTTTAATGAGTTAATCTGACCTTTCATCTCAGATAATACTACAAGATACTACATGGGTATGTAAACATAGTGTCTGTATGTGCATAAATTAGAGTGCAGGGACTTTGTTAACTGGAGAAGACTATAGTGAAATATTTATTTGACTTGTTACTTTTATAATCACTGACTACAACAATGATGTGTAGATACTATTCAGCAACCCAGATATGTAGTCAGTCCAAGTCCAGTGTGGCTCCTTTGTAATCAAAAATCCATTGGTACATCTAGCCATGGTTTTGAGTCTCCAATGTTTTTGGTGTTATGTAACCTTCACATAGCAGATATCATTGGGAATTGCACATCATGTCTCCATATCTCCAAAACTGTGACTGTTGATGTGTAGAAAGAGGGGAAATAGGGATGGGTTGAACTGTGTGAATGAAGTGTGTGTTTTATTTGTTTTTTCTCTTTTTCTCCTCTTTCTTTGTTTCATACTTCTCCTTTTATATCATATTCTCCTCTGGTCCTGCATTTATGTCTGCTCTGTACCCTGTAAAAATACCATTTGTGTGCACACACAATAGGAGATATTAAAGCTCTGTTTCTGCCAAGCAGTTCGGTACGATTCAGTTCAGTTCAGTGTACATTTTCTTCTGTTTCCACTGTGAAAAGTTATGGATAGTACCAATGGAACCGTTCCTTACTGTCCCCATTTTTGGTCACCCCTCTGCTCGGGTACCTAGCACACAGATCTGGTACTAAAAGGTGGAGCTGTGAACACTGTAGACCGTTGATTGGTCAGTGGCGGACGGTCACTCTGCTCAGGGCTGAGTTGTGGCTGGTTTTAAAGTTTATGTAACCACTGTTTATAATGTGACTGTATGTACACTATAATTATGATGAAAGGATGTTTGGCTGCCTCTTGCAGCAGCTGTAAAAACTTAATTTACTTGGCCAACTGCAACTTTTAAGATGGAACGTTTACTTGTGATGTTACTCAGTGCATGAGTTGAATCCATCAACACACCTTAAATTTCAATGACAACTTTGACCATTCTATAATGTTCATGCTGTGTGTGTCTCCCTCTGCTGGCCAATCTGCCATTAAGCCTGCTCTGGTACTTTCTGTTCCTGTACCCATAGATACAAAGCCTTTTGCCACTGCTGACTTGGGATTCGGGGAATGTTATGATGATTCATAGTATATGGCACTTATGGAGGCAGAAATAAAACATGTTTTATTTGGTATTGTTGAACAATTTCTCCACACAAGTAACATATACAAAGCAAGTTAGAATGTACCACGAACATCAAACACAAGCACACACCTTCAGAGTCTCAAATTAAGGCACATTTGAAAGCCATAAGTTCTTTTAAAAGCAACAGCGATCACTTATACTTTCACATCATCTGAACACTTCAAGTACACTGGCTTTGACCTCTGAGTTGAGAAGGAATTGTAATATGCTCAGCAACACATGATCTTGTGCGATTGAGTCAAGTCAATAAATACAGATATCTGTATAAAACATAAATCTACCATCAGACTCTGATAAGAGCAAATCTGTTAAACAACATCAGGGAGTGACACTGTTGAAGGTAAACAGCTCTGAGCTTTCAGATCTGTTAAAACAAATAGGAATATGTAAAGCTCACGACTGCAATGAGTTCAGTGCATCTAGAATAAGCGCATTTTATAGTTCTGTTTCGTACAGCAGTTATTAACTTTAACACATTTATCACTACATTGGACACTTGGTGTTGCAAGCATCACCTGACTTGAAAAGTCCATACACACTGACCAATGGGAACATGGATAGAGCACCAACCATGGAGCCCAGCTGCACTACTGCCCCACACCACACGAGGGCACTGTGGCCTTCATCCCTCAGAATAACCCCAATGATGACCTTCACGTAGGACAGGGTCAGGACAAACAGGATCCAGGCCAGCACCTGCAACACAGAAGAGGTCATTTTTATACATTACAACAATCTGACACCCAGTCACCCAGATACTAATCAAATGTACAAAGTGTCCTGCTTTGACCTCAACAGTCTTCAGTGGTTTGCCATCATGAACAGGTTGGGACATGAGGTTACCACTCCAATCAGAAACTGACTCACCAGTTAGGTCCCCCTCTCTTGAGGAGAAGCTACCAGTTAATATTACATGCTGGGTCATGATCATTGATATACCAATGAAGTGTTTTGTGCCTAAAACATGTGATCATAACTCTGGTAGTAGTTTTACATTTTGTGGTGGTGTCATTATTTTTGCATTTTTTTTTGTGTACTCTTACTTGTAATACAAATAGAGCAAAATTGCAAACACCAGTAATGAAGAAACAAAGAATATAATGCATTATTAAGAGAAATATCAGATTTGTTAGGTCACAAGCCCAACCAAAGAAAAGTTGAATGTCAAAACTTCTTGGAATCAAAATCTTTCAAAGCTTAATTTTTCTGATTTTCATCCTGCAGTTGCCAGCACCTCTTGCTTCACAGTACGCTTCTCTCTCTCCCTCATTTTCACTGCTCTAGGCATGATTTGCTTATGTAGAACCAATGATCAATCATCCATAGAAAAGTAAATTAATAAATAAAAATGCCACTCCCTTGCTGTTAGGATTTTTCTCCCGAGGTTTTTTAAAGCTTTGTTTTCTGCACTGTTAACCTTATTTTGAAAGAGTGTGTGATCCCATTGACTTTTTACAGCAGTTACATAGCACGGTGGTGTTTGTTCAAGTTTTATTATGCTGACAAAACTCAACCCTGTTCAAGAGCACTACACATGTGAATCAACACGTCCGCGATGGTGAAAGCTTAATTTAGCTTGAAGCTCCATTAATGTTCATGCACATGGCACAAACATGGTTTGACAGCACTGCTTTAATCAAGTTAGACAGGACTGTGTTGACACGACTTGAACTCGAAACCTGCCAATTACACTACACTCCCAAATTCTCACGAAAAATCTGAGCACACATGTGACTGTGACAGGCAGGTTGTTCTGTTATTCTTTTATAAGGCATAGCATTGACAAGGAAGAACACAAGATCCAAAATTAAACGCTATTAAATGATATGTTTCACAGTTTAAATGAAATGTCTTTGTAGTTAAATTCATTAGAAGACAGAGTCTTACAATGACTGCAGTTCCAAAGGTGCTGTGGACCAGCAGGGGGCAGGGACTCAGAGCAGCCATGGCCATGATGTAGGCGCCAAATCCAGTCCCAGTCATGGTCAAGAAACCCATGAAGATGAGAGACCTGGAAACAAAAATCAATACAAATGGTAAACTTTAATTCATTTGAATTTTATGTCATTGGAGGAGACTGAGAAATCTTGGTCTTTATGTAAAATGATCATGTCATGGTTTCATCATTCTTACCTAACTGGCACAAACATGGCGATGAAGCAGGCCACTGGGTTAGCAACAGCTGCCATGGTGGCAGCTAGATGATAGGCCTTGTTCCCATAAGGCAGACAGGAGTATGACTGGACTGAGGGCAGCACTGCATTGGTCAGAGCATTGACCCAAGCCAGTACAACAAAGATAAACACCACCTCCAGATTACTATATGTCCCCATCCCAAAAGAGCTCCTGGGCTCCCTCCTGGCGTCTTCCAGGGGGCTGATCATCGGCTTCTGCTCTGGTGTCTGGGCGTGCAGAGACAAACCTTGTTCTCTCTTCTCAGAGGCCAGATCACCACTGAAGTACAGGTCGTTCTTCCTCTCTCGTGCCACAGCTGGGTGATGGTTGAGTAAGATAAAGGCTACCAGGCACACAACCATCATGGCGCTGAGGAACACAAAGAAGACCTGGACAGAGAATTTAGCTGGCTGGTAGATTGCTTTCAGCTCTCCACTGCCAACCGTAGTGACATTATCAGCTGTTTCATTGGCTGCGATAGCAAAAGTGGCATTCTGACAGTGTACTACACCAACACCTTGAATCAGAGCCACCAGTGCAGGCACCAAACCACTCAGGCCTTCACCTGCAAAGTATGTGGTGAGGTACTGCGGACGCAGTCGCATCATGAAAGGCAGAAAGGTAACAGAGGAGGTGCAGTCCACCACAGAGAGCAGGAAGCTTAACACCAGCAGGGGCACGCTGTGCAAAGAGCCCCCTATTGCCACTGTGTGCCTCCAGAAGAAAGCCAGCAGGAATGTAGCGACAATCCCCAACCCTACAATGCAGTAGATGACCGGCCGCTCATCTAGCACCCGTGGGCGGAAGCGGTGCATGAGAGTGATGAAGAGAGGACCTATGTTGGCCATCTGGATGAGGACTGTGAGGTAGGATGGCAGAAACCAGCCCTCTGGGATCTCTGGTACGACCAGGGGCAGCTCCACCCACATCCCGTTGATGGCCACCCAGGAGCCCATGCCGAACAGGCAGGCCAGCACATGAGTAAGCAGCGACATGATGGAGGAATGAGGTCAGGAAATGTAGATGTATACAATCTGGAATACAAACACAGCAAAGGTTCATTAGTAGACATCATCAAAATCTAGAAAAAAAAAGTAGATAGCGTAAGTTTCAGTCTGATATTTTACTAAAATGTGGTATTTGAACTTTTCAGTTTCATCTAACTCAATGATGGCTATGTTCTAAATGTACATGTATTGTCTCATAATTAACTAGTTGTTTGAACTTGGTGTAAAAATATATTTTCACTGACGAGTGTTAATGCTTGACAGTGCAAATTCTGTTGTGGACTTTGTAGGGGAATACTTTGAAAGAATACTTTTTCCAAAGTTCTCAGGAGTGAGTATGGTCACATTTATGGAAGTTCGCTGCAGAGATCAGCCTCTCATTGGGCAGAACAAGCCACCCGCTGAAGTCCTGCCCTACCACCTCCGGTTGTGTAGCAGTTTTCAACCTTTCAACACGTCCTTTACTAACTTTTGCGGTGTTTGATCTTGCGGGGATGTAGCCATTTTTCTGCCATGGTTCACATCCTGTAGGCGATATATTTGTGGGCGTGTTACACCAAAACCTGTTTCCCCCCGGCAATATTTTTGCAAGCGCACCGTTGCTGTGGCACCGCCCAGAACGATTGTGATTGGTTGAAAGAAATACAAGCAGCCGGGGCGTTTTTTTCTCCAGTCTTAAAGTGAGAGTCGGCCCAGCCAGACCTTTCTTTTCTTGAGAAAGGTCTGGTGAGCGAGACTAGGTCACATTTGAAGAAAATACCAAATGGCAAAAACAGTGGCTAAAGCATGTTGTTGGTGAAGATTCTCAGTCATCCAGGTCATGGTAAGTGCTATATCGTAGGCAACTGGACTTGCTTGCAGGCTACTGGTATGAAGTTGCCCTGTGTGTGTGGGTTCCCAAATGTCTTCAAGAAACGCAAGCAAGTCCAGTTGCCTGTGATATAGCACTTACAAGTGGCTAAAGCAGCTTCCACTTGTACATATAATTACATAGCTTCAAAAGTGCATTTTGGAGTTCTTTAAGATTGCTGTAATGTTTGCAAGTCATAAACACGACTAAGCATCTACTGCCATGCTGACTGCTGACACCTCTGTGAGGCCATGCAGTGCTTTTAGCATTAGCATGTTCACCATCTGATAGCTATGTCAGTATTCGAACATTTGTGTGTCAGCACTGAATGCAAAGTACAGCTGAGGTTGATGGGAATATCATTATAGTTTTGCAGGTATTTAGTCATAAAAAAACGTGATCATCCATCCAATAGTAACCCTCCCCCATCCTGCATGCGAACAATAGTAACACTGCTGCTCCTAAAGCCACAAAGCTAGCATGGCTAAAAAGAAAAAAAAAGTGTCTTGGGGATGGTGTTGGCTAAGATACATAATAACAAGAGTACTGAAATAAAAAAGATGGTCTCCTTAAGTAAGAACAACATGGCTGAATGTTATTACATATTTCCTACTGAGGACAGAAGCATGTCCCCATGTGGCTGGGACTGACCTTCCCAGTCTCCCTTTACTCTGCCTCCTGTTTCATCCCTCTCATTTGCTGTTGGCAAAGGGGATAACTGACCTTTCACACACTGACACACTGCTCCCATAAAAAGCCCCCATGAGGTTGTGACATAAACAGAAACATTGAAGTGAAATCATTGTGAAGCTGTGCGATCAAACTGCATCACCACTGCCATCGTGAAGGACTTGCCCTGATTAGAACCACAACAAATAGTAAACTCCAAGTTAGCACATTCTGTTACTGAAATAGTAAAGGTCTTTCACATAGGACCATGTCAATGAAATGTTTCAGTGTACACAAGAACCTAGTAAGGAAGTATGCTAACTACATGAGATAAACACGATGAAACATCCTGTTACCTGCTTTTATATCTGAAACTATACAGTCATTCTAGTTCCTTTTCATTCCTATTACCGGAGCATATGGATGAAGAGTTAAGCCTTGTGGTTCCAGGATAACCAGGAAATCCAATAACCCTCCCTTCCTTCATACACACTTCGATAACGTGTCAGAATATCTCCTCTTACCTAGTTCAGAACATAACCAGGAAGCTCCTCTCTTCCCTCTTCCCTTTCAAAAGCCGTCACTCCATTGTGATTACAGTTTTTTCTGTTACATCAGCCGCAAGTATGTGTGTATGGATTCCCTCCCCCTTTTCTCCTCCACACACACACACACACACACACACACACGGGCTCTACAGGCTTACATTCTGCTTCCGTGTCCCTGCTGCACTTGACATGGGAGGGGCTGCACAGGCGCACATGCCCTGCACCACCATGACACTTACTATTGGAAGGTGGTTACAAAATCATGCAGCCATGTGCTCTGTGTGAGCCTGGGAGCTCAGCAGTAGGAAGAAACAGAGTAAAGGGGCAGGTCTCAGTGAGAATGGCTCCTCCTTTTCCTTTTCCCTCCCCCAACCAGCGTACAAGCTTGTGGCCTGCCCTCCTTTAAACACACATGCTGCAGTGTGAATGAGAAGAGTGAACCAGCTTTTGGGTATGAAGTAAACTACAAGATATTCGAAATACCACCCTGGCTTTCCTTCTACTCTTCTGCCCCTGCCTCAGTTTATACCTATGGCCTTCTGAGCCTCTAATGGCTTCACACTGTGCCAGCAGTTCTTTTGCATAGGCCAGTATGTCGCATGTTTGTTTGCATATCTAGTTTCATAGTCATCTCTGGTGTGAAAATAGTTACTTATCAGACAAGTCTGTATCAGTCTGTGAGTCAAAGTATCACGACACACAGCATGGTGCTTGTTTAAACCAACTGAATAGAGCAACATTTCTCCTCTTCAGTCAGTCGCATTTGACACAAAGCTACTTTTGTGGCTAAGAAGGACCTCAGGAGCCTGACAGAGCAGAGGCGAGAAGCATCACGCTCTGAACTCTTCAACACAAAGGAAGTGGTGATGGAGGTGTTTTCAAAAGTTCTGCAGGGCTTCTGGTCTTCAATGCACCCTCCAAGCAGCGCAGTGAAATGATGGTTGGGGCCACAAAGGCTAGGTCTCACCTGCTACCCTAACTATTGCTGATCTGCCAAACTGCTATCACAGCAAGCCTGGGTGCTTTTATTACCTAAGGGCCCTGACACACCAAGCCAACGGCCATCCACCAATCAGTGTCAGGCCAACCAGTTAGCATCCATTGACCTAGGTTTTGCACTGTGCCTCACACGGTTGGCACTAGTCGGCCTTTGTTGGCTGTTCTTCAGCAGATTCAACATGTGGAACAGTGTCGGAGACGGCGGAGCCAGGCATTAAATGAAATCACTAAAGAGGCAGTGGTGAGGAAAGCAAACAAATGTCAAGAGGTCAAAAGTCAAGAGGGCGTGAGCACTGAATAAAGTTGTTACATTAGGTGTATAGTCACTGAGCTCTTCAGCAGAGACTGCTTGTAATTGTTTGAGTCATTGTTTGCTAGCGCTCAGAAAATATCTTTTGTTCCTTCAACGCCTGGTTGTTCAGTTTCTTATTTTAAATGACGAATACAGACTACCATCGTCTGCTGCTATACAGGTGCAGAGCATGCATGCTAGTTGGTTATTGTCTTTGAGGTGTGTTCAAGTGCAGCTTTTTGCCAAAATACAGGCAGCCTGAGGCGACGCAGCAGTCGGCTTTCATTACCACTATGATTTGTTTTGCCCACCCTGGAGGATACTCAAACACTATTGAATGGTTGCTGTGATGTTTGACACAGGCATTCATGGTGCCCAGAGGATGAATCCAACAGATTGGTGATCCTTTAAATTGTCATTGAGCCCCATGATCTGTTAAAATTGTAATTTTTGAGATAACTCCCAATTGAATAAATGGCACTGTCATAAGGAGCAAGCAAAAATGTATAAAAATATTCTAAAAAAAGTTCTGCGATGATATTTTCCACGGGCAGTCAAAGCACCATCTTTTTCAAGGTTGTCAGCTTGAAACAGGAGGATAGAGGGCTGCCTGTACAAGGCTGAGAATGTTAATTGATATAAAACTGCTTTAGAATGTCAAATTTGGCCTTTTTGTATCATTGATTTTTTTTTAACAGCATCTTAATGACATATTCCACAGTGTATTTTTTACTCAGGGGGTTGTGTAAAAGAGGACAGTTGTTAAGGACAACCTAAAAAGTGCAGCGTAAACCCTGCCAAACCTGGTTGTAGAAAAGGTTATTCTTTGTAAGTGTGTCTCCAAAACTCTAAGCTTCCATGTGACAAAGTTCCTCATATAACATTAAAACAAAACACTATAAACTGTTTGAGCTCCTTTCAACAATTTAAATTACCTCTATTCATCATTCTAAATTAGACAAGACACCACCTACCTGCCCGTGGGAAAGGAAGTGCAGAGTCAGTTCTGGTGAGAGCTTACCCAACTGCAGTGGCAAGTGAGCCGAGGGTTACTCTGTTCAGAGGTGTAGCAGCACAGTGGCCTTCTGATGTGTAGAGCAGCGTGCACATCGAGATGAGTGCTTTGTCCTTTACTACTCTGGGTCTCTGAATCTGTGTCATGTGACTGCAGAGGGCTGAGCCAGGGGTCCAGTTTGGGAACCAAAGTCCTCAGCAGCAGGGGTGGGTGGAGGGAGGGAATGAGAACAGAGAGAGGAAAGAACAGATAGAGGATGGATGGATGGAGGAAAGGGGAGTTTAGAAAATGTCAGTAAGAAAGTAGAGAAAAAGGAACAGACTGAATCTAATGAGTCTGCTACACAGACATGAAGGTTCTCTACATTTTTTGCAGAGTGCCAGTGCAGACAGCTTAGCCAAGCAGAAGATGGCTTTGGACAGCTTTCTGTGCTTTCTGAGTGGGTGTTTGGTTGGGGTCAATCTGGCTTTTGTTCAGAACAAATTCCAGCCAAAGTGAATGACCCCTGTTGGGTCCTAACTTCATGGTATTTCATGTGAGTGCCCTTGTACCCACCTCTGCAGTGACTGGTACTGCATGTTCCCTTCCTGAATAAAAACATTTCTTTTCAGGCAC